GAAGAAAGTTTCCTACGCCACACGGATTTCAACTTTTTTGATTAATGCATGCGATGAATGGGTATGGATAAATCATAGAAGAGGTCTCAGCCCCTCAAAGGATGGCAGCACGTTTCGGATCTTCGAGGAACCCAGAATTGAATTCGATAGCAGGGATTTTGAAGAGAGTTCTGGAAAATTCCCTTCCAGTGACCGAATGAGAGCACAAGTTATATGTATGTTAGACATTCGTCTATGGTGACATTAAAGGCACATCCCACTATCCAGACAGGTGATCAATCCTTCAGTAAATGGAATAGAGCTACACACAAAGATAGAAGTTGTGTCGGCTCAAAAACGCGAGAAGGGGCACTCAAGTCTTCTGACGCCGTTGACTACCGCTCCTCTCAACTCTGACGTGGTGACCTAATGCCGAGAAACGCTTTCGGCGTTTCGTTCAATTGTTTTTCGTTGGAAAATCACACCGCGCACCGCTGCTTCAATTCAATCTTCGAGCGATATAACCAGCACAGTTGATCTACGGAAATACCTTCACATACAAGAATAGAGGAAATAACAAAGGATTAGAGAGGGGTGCAGGTTTGGTTGGGGCATTACGTTGAGCTCCAAGACTCCCAAATAGATCTAATTTGTTTACAACTTCGAAATCAAAGCTGCTTCTTTTCGTCAGTTGACATTAAAATTCGGAGATGAACAAACTCTCTACTAGAATGCAGGTGTACCTATCATCACTCAAAATCAACGAGTCATTCGGAAGTGCATTCGACTGCACATCGACTTCTGGGGTTTGGCGAGGGTGCTTAGATTAAAGCAAAGATTACAATGTCTGAAGGGCGTTGCAGTTTACTCCATTCATCGTCACTGGTGAGGTGTCAGACTTTGCGATTCCACCGAATCGCGAGGTACGAGCGATGCATCAGCGATCGAACTATACACCAGCGGTTTCAAACGATGTACCAACGACTTGACAATGTTTGAAAGTAGCGGGAGCGCCCTTTTCGTTCACACGTTTACTCTCGCCACTTTCCAGGGCTCACGAGGGCAAAAAGAGTGAGAGGGCATGAGAAGTCCGGAAAAAAGGCGAGGGCGAACGTACGGAGGAGAAAGGCTTTCGCCATTTTCAAAAACTGTCAAGTAGCTGGTACATCGTTCGAAACACTGGTGCATAGTTCGATCCGCTGGGCATTGCTCATACCCCGCGATTCGCTCGCTGGATTCGCAAAGTATAACGCAGACCTGAGTTAGGGGAATTAGTGCCCCAATGGTGTGGTCGGTAGCACATCCCACAACAGGAGGTTCGACTCCCACCTAAAGTGAAGCATTCCGCGCATAACTAACACCACTGTGGCAACTGCGACCAAAAACAGGTGATAATCGAAAATCAAGCAATCAAAAACAAGTCTAAATTGTGCTATATCATTTGCGGTTGAAGTACATGGAATTATGATTAAGTCTATATCTACGTACCTAAAGGAGACATTCCTAAAGGATGTCATGGAGAATCTACGAGAGAAATCGCGCCGTGAGCATTTGATCGCTTCTAAACATACGCATGGCGTACACAAGACAACGATAGAATTAACGCTTTCTTCCAGTCTGAGCATTTTAAGAGCTCACCAACATTGACTAACTTTTAGCGTTTATAAAAAATATTTTCAGTATTGAAAAACCTTTTGTCAGGAACAAGATCAACTATCCGGGGAAGGGATTACATTCCAATACATAATTGCAGTGATTTTCAAGCACTTAGCTACTTTTCTCATGTCTTAAGGGCAACCCTTTTGATGGCTTAACACCGCCAGAACATTATATTCAGGTCACTGAGGTACGAGTACCTGGTCCTCATATTCAAGTCAGTTCCAAGACGTCAACTGAGGTGAAGAAAAGTGCGCGACGTAATTACCGATCGCACAGATGGGTCAGTTGGTCAGACCGGCACACTCATACACACACGCAACGGCGCTAGACCTCCACTAAGGATCTCACTTTCACCTTTCAGCGCCACGCTGCTTTCGTCTAATGCGGACGCCGATTCCGCTTTTGATCCTACTGTCAGTTGGAGGTGAGCACTGAGAAACATTCTATCCAATACGATCTAATGGCCCTGTTCTCTAGGATACGCGGAAATCAATTCATCAGCCGATTTGAACTGCGACTTCTCGACGACGTGCCACTGGAGAAACGCAAGCGGTTCAGAAGACAGCGGTGAATGGATCGTGAGCAATCGATATGAAGGAGATCCGCTACATTTGATCACAACGAGGAGGGCAGGCGGTCAGTACCACTGTTCTACTCAGTTAGAACCCAATTCCAAATACTGTTGCAGATGGCTTCTTCGCTTACACAAATGGCTTTATGGGAAGAACGACTGCATTGTTGGTGTCCGAAGTCGTGTCTTGCCAAATTGGAGGAGGCAACATCAAGTACTGGTACTTCAAAACTGGTATTGAATCGCAGCTGGAAATATGCACACGACAACCACCAGGAAGTAAAGACCTCAATGCGCTCAAGTAAGAACAGAATGCTTTTCCTTAGATTGATAGTTTGAATCAAATTTCCTTTTCTTTGACTTCTTCCTCTTGGAAAACCCTCTAGAAATCCTGCAAGTGAACGGCGAAATTGTTGGCCTCTGCAATCAAACATTTTCTATGAACCGCATAAAGCATCTTACAAGCGTTTTTACATGCACCTCGCCAAGAAATGCTCAAAAGATGATATTTGTGCTCTACTCTTTTCTCCTTTTGCCTTTCATTTTTGCAATGCGTGATCCCTCCCCCAATCAGCGTCCACTCAAGGCTTTAGGATGTTTTAATGCTCACTTGGCTCACACACTGACGATACGGAGCCCATGAAGCCCACCCCTCTTCAAATAGTCACTTTTTACGGGGTATCTCTACTCTTCATTAGACCCTTCACAAAACTGTGCAACCAACCAACACGCACATGAGCTAGAGTTAAGACAAATCGGCCTATCTCCTGGTTTTACATCAATCAACAGTCGGGAGGTACCCGACAGGAGGCCCGTCGCGCGGCAAGAAGACAGAGTAGCGGACGAGTTGCAGCGCGTAGTGTAGTGATTTCGCGTCAAGTGAAATAGGATGTACCATTATACCGTCCGCTGACTCTGCCTTCTAACCGCACGATAGGCCCGCTCAGGTAGCCCAAACAGTCGGGCAAAAATTCTTAACGGCCATGAGACAGCTTTAGCGGCTGACAAGTTTCGATCGACACACGCTTTAAATGGACGCGGCTATATGCCAATTTGAACCATGTTCCTTCCGAAGTTTCAAACAAACCATACACATTCGCACGTTCAGATGTTTACGATGGGTTATCGCCGAATTTCATTCAGCAATGGATCTTCCGCGTGATCGAATTGCCACCATTGTCCCAACCTTTTGAGGTAGTTATTGAGATTAAAATGGTTGTCTGTGTTCACGGGGTTGAAGGAATTTTTGTTTCAGTTGCTTTTCCGAGGTACTTTCTATCGCCAATGGACTGTGATCGCTCTTACCGAAATCGACTACAGTTCGACACTATGTGGTACGTGACTCCGCTTTGATGATGAACAGTACCACTTTCGGTATTTACCGGGAAGGTCTTCCAAGTAATGTCCTGCTTTTTCAAAACGGTTTCACTATGTAAGACCACGTGGCATCGAGTAACGTAGAACCACGCTTCTTTTTAATCGATGTGGACCTTACTCGAACGTCAGAAAGGCGATGAAAGATGGTTCATGCCACAAAAAGGGTAACTGCGGACTTGGCAATGTGTATATCCTATACGTTATAAGAGACATCACGATGCCCTTTGTGCAAGATCTAAATGTCAAAAAAGGGTGTGTAAGCCTAAGCTTTTAGCAACTCCTTTCTGGCGATTCGAGATGAGCCGCACGAAAAAAAAAAAAAAACGAACCGCAGTCTCTTTGTGTTTCATTCATGTGCCCTTTAATCACGCAAAAAAAACCGTGGCATCGGTGGTTTTCGAAGCAGAGCACGACCTCAAAGATCTTTCCGGTTGGGCAGGCGTCAGACTTGGCGAAAAACTGCTAGCGATTTGAGCTGTACGACCGATGCATCCAGTGATGCGCCAGCAATCGCGCCGACGATTACCGCCAGCGTAGCGCTGGAGTAGCGGCGCATAGTTCGAATTTTTAATTCGCTAGCATATTGCGCGATTCGGTTGATCGCAAAGTCTGACATCTGCCTTACTGCCATTGTAACAGAGTACAAAGCACTTGCCACGCACAAGAAGGCTTTTGTCTCTTTACTGCCGCAAATGCGATTCATAGACGTTATTCTTCAGAAAACGAAAAGTAGATTTGGGATGAAAACTATCCAGAGCATTGAAAAAACAACAATAGGTACACCACGTGAATAGTCATCCAAAATAGGTCCTTTCAGATGAGGACAACCGAATACGACAAAAAAGGCTGACGCCTCATTTGATCGGCTTCCACGATTGGCAACAAATCCGCCGATCTGATCGCTACAAAGGAGAAACAATGATAGTTGTGGCTCAGCCTACGGCAGAAGAGAAAACGTCCGAATCCCCTCAGGGAAGTGGACCAGCTCATAGAACAGGCCAACGTGACACAAACAGAAAATACCACACTGCCGTTTTCTACCAGTTTACTAACGGAGGAACTCCCCACGACAACTTCAACCCCGACTGTGACATTCAGCACTACAGAGCTAGAATCGCTTTTCACGACAACGCCCAGTACAGGTTCCACAACTGATCCAATGGCAAACTTCATGCTCTTACTCAGGCAAACAGTTCCAGTCTTACCGTACATACCCATACTGGTGCGCAGTCTTCAACCTGATGCAGCAGGTCCAGTGGGGAACGATGGAGCATTTGGACAAGCGCCTCCTCTCCTCAATAGTCAAGCCATAGGAGCATCACAGGATCTCCGCCGATCACCTCCAGTGGCCGCTTCCCACTTCTACAACACAGATCCGGTATCTCCGCCTTCACCTCATCCTGAACCGAGTTTGGTGGAACTTGCGAAAAAATTTGGGATTTTCAGCGAAGAAGATTTGCTCACGACAGTTTCTCCCCCCAGTTTCACTCTGATGTCTATCACCGAATCTCCCACTGTAACTTCAGAAAGGAATATTTTCGGAATGGCGATGACGACGGAGAAACCCGAAGCACTATCGACAATTTATCCACCAAAATTAATGAACACAGATACACAAAGGAGGAGAATGCCGACACCTCGAACGATTTCGCGAACCTCGGAAGGAAGAAGCGCTGAAGGACTGCAGAAGCTTCATAGCAGATAATGAAGGGGAAGGAGCGAAAAGGAAATTTCCTACCCATTTCTATTCCACCCACAACGAACAAACCATCACGGGGCTGTCGGTCTTCAGAAAACCCACACGAGAGGGGAGTCGGAGGTGCACTAACTGAAGAGCATGACAAATATCTTCCAAGTGGTGCAACAGATGATTTGAAACTTCTGCGAGAAATCCCTGATATCGAAGGTCTCACCCGTGGGATGGATCTGTCATTGGTGTCTAAACCTGGAGGCTTCGCAAAATTGAAGAAGCAATTCGTGGAACGGCTGATGCGCAGAACAATTGGACTGCCTGTCGAGGATGTCTCCCACTTACTGCCTCCACCCATTTTACCAGTTCGGGTCACTCACAAAATGATGCGAGAACGGTCACATAAATTAGCAAAAAGAATACGAAAAAACAGAGTATAAATGAATAAATCTGTCATATCGCGTTTTATTGTGAACATGATGTCGGGTATTTTCCCAAGATTTTACTTATCAATGTGAATTTTCAACGTATGAAAGTGAATTCAGAAATTTCGAACAGCGGTGCAGAGCAAAGCGCTGGAGGAAGTTTCGCTTCAGAAGAAGTCACCGGCTCAAAATTGGTGGGATTCAGCGAAGGAAATGGTTAGTGATACAAATACTTTTCTAAACAAAAATAGCCAAGCCCTCATGAATGTCCATGCGATGCGCCTCGTACCCGTACACCACTTCGGATTGTAGAACTGTTTGGCTTGCAAATGGCTCGGGAGGGAGCAAAAGCTGAACGCTGCGCAGTTTAATTTTTTTTTGCAATTGAAGATAATTTTAAATCCGCTCACTCCTAGAGGGACGGCTCGGCTACCTCCCACGACCGTGTCATCTTGACTGGATTCATAAAATAGAAATGTGGTGACAAAACTTCCATGAAAAAACTTTCCAGGGGAAAAAGGATACTTGAAGGGATACAGGGGGTGAGGGAGAGCCCAAGTGGATGACAAGTTGCACTTGCGCAACAGGAGAAAGAGCCCTCAACACCATAAAGCCCTACAAACGCTTATGTGGTTACAGAAAGTATCGACGGATCTTAGACATACCACACCCAGGACGTCTTGCGTAATTTTCTTCGCAGGAGTACTTTTCATATCAAGCCGCCTCACCTTGAAATTTTAGTAACTTCAGCTTCCGCATATGCGTAAAAACAATTATTTTGCGCAGTATGAGTACAAAACTAAAACGATAACACATGAAATAATTACTAGTAGTAAGATTACAAAAAGACAAATTGTTGCGAGGGCTACCAAGGCGCAACAGCCGTGCTAGACTCGGTCGAATTGAACCAACGGGGGAAAAGAGGGTATCGTTTCCGCTCATAAGCACACCATTTCACACCTCTCACATTTCAATAATACCAGCTTGCCCCGAGTTTCGCCTTCTAGTGAAAGAAGTATAAAACGAAAGTTCTGATCCATCGGCTTTAAGAAACGTGAAGAATATCTTTAAAGCAACAATCCAGGAACGAATTCGCGGGTAAGGACCACCTATAATGACGTTGCAGGTGAGAAGTTGGTCAATGGAGAAAGAAAAAGTAGAAAAAAACGTCGGGCAGGGGCTTAGACAGGGACTCCCCCTGCCGTTTAGGGAGACGTGTGTTGGACGAGTTGTCCGAACCTGCCCGTAGTACATGCGCTCCAGTTGACTGCTGGCAAATAGCCATGCATGCTTGCAAATACATAACTATTTGCCAGCAATCGAAATTGAAGCGCTTCAATTGCGTTCTTATGGAATCGACCTCATACAGCGCGGCGGTCCCGCAACGACCGCTAGTCGAGCAAGCGCTCTGCACAGCACATGTTGAGCGATCCGCCTCCGGTATGGGTGCCTTCTTAGAATCGTCTTGATATGGCATCTCAATAAAGTTCTTCAGCTTCATTACACTCTGAAAAAACCTTTAAATACCTAGTTTTAAGTGCCAACTCACGCAACACCGTCATTTTCAGACGTGGAGATCGTCACATTTGGAAACGACTGGAAAGCCAGCTTCTACTCATGGAACCCCGCAACGAGCGCTCAATTTCGCCGCCAAGACCGCTGGTCGTGGAGATTTGACGGAGCCGAGTTCACCACCAGTCGGAGCCGCCTTCAAACATCTTGGCCTTCTAGATCGACATGCACTTTTGGGATGACAATGTAAGTTCAACATTCACAATAATATAATCAAGCCTACGGAGACTAACAGTTGAATCTGGGCAAAAGTAGAGCAGCGAAGTCGCGATCCAGCCGCAACTACACCGGGGCATGAACATATCAAATAAACACTGCCAGTTCCTATTTGAAGACAGTCCACGTTTCAAAATGGCCCCTACACAAAGCCCATTTATGGTACCAGACGGTCAAGAGGTCTACCGCGTGGCGAACGGGTCATCGCAACAGTCATCAGGCGCTTGGCATTCACCACAGAGAATACCGGGACCACATTCGTCCACGTTTTGATATCAAATGGGGAACACTTCTTATTAGTCTTTTCTCTTCCTTTTCTACTTTATCTTCCAGAAGAGTACGATTTTCTTAAAGGATAAAGGATAAAGCATTTGCCGTTGATCAATCCCTTTTTGGGATGCGGCACGCATTCTACTTCCATTTGTACATTCGTAGTGGCGTTTGAATGCGATGTGGCCTATACAATGACTTGCGGGGGCCAGCCGATGTACAAGTCAGTGTTTTTATCCTCCCAGACAAGTCTGGTACCAATTAACCGACCCCGGAGGGATGGAAGGCTTGGTTGGCCGGGCGACTCACGACCCAGGATTTGATCCCCGGACCGCTCGTACTGGTGAGCAAAAAACCTCAAAAAGCGAAAAAGAAAGGGCAACTTATCGACTTGATTCTGAATACAACTATTTACAGCATCGGTCGGTAACGACCACAAAATAACCGATTCGAGTGGCAAGTGATAACAGTGGGCTCAATAACGACTGCCACAAACTCGCCCATACCCCTATATTTGCCCTCGGCAGAGGGCTTTCATTAATCGTCACCTTTTTTGACTCGGGCTAAATGTACATCAGATGAGGCCACATTGGTGCAGGCTTATTAGCTTATTTGAAGCTCATCTACTCATTTGAAACCATAGCAAACACTTTCTGATATGTACATTGGAAAAAGTGAAACTCACCCATATTACCTAGTTACTTATTGCATGACGAGATTAGTTAATCCTCTGTTTTTGCATGAGCAGATTAGCCAGATTTCGCGGAAAGAGCCATCCAAGCTCTCTGCGAAACTGTTACTGTTAGAACTGCCGAACTATTTCCACTGCAGTGCTCCCGACATCTCCACCTCCATCCTCCCCTACTAGTCACCTCGTTCCAGGGCGCACTTCTGGAACCACCTCATCCCTTTCATTACCACTATGATAAATCCCGCTAGCTACACCCACGCTACGCCTTCTCTACGTCAAACATTTTTTAGTCTTGCAGTTTTGCTCCACTTAATCACTTTTATTGAACCATCTTATGTTTCTTGCCATCTGACACTTTTAGTAAAAGCCTCTTTCCCTGTTCCAAGCGGCAGGCCACTTTGAGAAATGCCCCGCCCATTTTACCTCTACTTTTGTGAGATCAAGTGTAATATTTTCTTTCCCTTTCCTGACATGTATTGCACGGTTTCGAAATGCGTTACCAAAAACAATCAAGGGTAGCGGAGTGAAAATTTTAGTTTATTTAGAGCAATCGTTCTTCTTCCGTATCCTCATAATACTTTTTACTCTCCCTGACCTCTGCTCATGAAACGGAGAATGGAGGAGATCGGTCAATTTAAATTCTACAACCACCAAAAATAATTTTCTCACTTGAAATTTCAGACTTTTGCAACTACGTGACCAGTGTTAGCGAACACGACAAAGTTAATGGATCTCTTCGGGAGTGGTCAATGTCTTCGGCTGCCGTATTGAACTCGCTTACCGGAGTACCTCATGATCTCACAAAAAGTCAGTTATTCATCGCGAGTTTCACCCTTATTTATCACCTATGGGAGTCCTTTCAGCTGGCTCGTTCATCTACGCTGGTGGCACTACCGTCTCCCCAGAAGATACATTTATCCTGTCCACTAAACTACCGGTAGAATTGAAAGAAGCCGCTCGTCTGGACTTTTTCGTCTATCAAGCAGGTACCGGTGCAGATCTTTGTGTGTTAATCTAGAAAGGCAGCATGTACTCCTCCAGGGATAAAAGGGCGCCTACAAGTATGTCTTAACACCATCAACAACTGTGCACTCAACATAAAAGGAAGCACTATCGATAACCGGGCTCGAAAATGGAAGAACTATCATGTTCCGGTGACGACAACTACACATGCAGTGAGTTCATAACCACTACTATCTCTAAGGTAGGTTGCACTAAGGACACATCCTAGAGAGGCAAAGAAGGCAAGGTAGAAACGGAGTGTACGACCGGAGAATCTTCGACGAGAGGGGTCGTATTAGCTATGATGGGAGGAATTGGGCCGTAACGGGCGAAATGGGGTCGCTTTTCCGAGTAACATGTGCAGGAGAAATTTTGAGATAGTGTAAAGTTTTGAGATAAGAATTACGGCGAAATTAAGGATTATAGAATTGGCCTTTACCCTCACCCGCATCACTGGAATTTTAGGAGTGGAGGGGAATGTGGGTAGGTCAGTTAAAGAACTGACTGGACCATCAAACTATCAGAAGTTAGGGGGCGGGGGGGGAAGTCGTAGGCAAATTAGGGAGTGGGTCGTATTGGACAAAACTTTTGTAACGTGGTTCACCTTGTTTTGGAAATTCTAAGAGTTCGGAGACGTGCGCGCTAATGAGTTTCAGAAGTAAGCATGAAGGGTCCTAGCCTTGCTCTTTTTCTACCATTTTGTAAGGCAAAGCATGCAGTTCACCAGAAAAGAAAAAAAGTTATTGAGAATTCAAGGATAACCCAATTGGGAGAAGAGAAATCGATGTTGGGATCATAGTTCTAGATTAGCTTTCCAATGACCTGTCAATTCAAATAAAATGATATAGAGCTAAATCAAGAAATCCAGCAGGCGACGTTCAGGCTAGGGTAGACCGCTAGGATTCGATCAATGGACCCGTCAGTGACAAGGGTCCTCTTTACATGTCTGAGCATTCTTTCAACCACATAACAGATTATTATTTAGATCCACTTCGTAGCCGACGAACTACAACAACTACGCCATCGGACTGGACCACATCCAGTTGCTTAACAAACACGGAATGGCTGCTCAGCCTTGCAGATGATACTAAATTCGAAGAAATCTTATAAATACCTCCTAGAACAACTTTTTTTTTTCTTCAAACCTTTTTTTATTAGCTTCAAATCAAAGCAAGCAAAGTCAATGGCCAAGACTTGACCGCAACACATGTCAACTGAGCGCAGGACGGGGGCGCCTTCTAATTAAATATAAAAGGTTGCGCGCTGCCAAAATAGGTGGTGGCGTGCGTATAATGTATGCTATACGAAGTTATTACGATGACTCTTTCCTCAAACTCAATGCTTTTAACCGCAAAAGCCACTTTGTAGCATGTATGTACTAAACCTGAAATAAATATTCTACCAAAAATATCACCTCATTCTAATTCATCACAAGGATTAGTCCCTGTTGTCGGGGGTGGGTGTCGTACGTTTTCACAGGAAGCAAGAAGGGATAAGTAACCTACGCGGCGATTTGTAATTGCATTTCGTCGCTAGCCTGAAGCTTGAGAACTTTGTTGCTCCTCTACTGTCGCTGAGGCAGGCTCAATTAAAAATTAAAGGCCACGGAGAGAATGCGCAACAAAACTACCGTTCGCCGGACATGGGGAGAACGATCAATACTGAGCCGCTTTTTTTCCACTTACTAATGCTGCTATGGCCCACTCAAAACAAGCGATAGAAAGGTGCAAGCCTTTACTTTTCCGTCAAATTGCGCTTCGTTCGGTGGCGACAAATTTTTCGGATCGTGCAGGTATGACGTATCAAAGATACAAAAATAGATTCAAATACTAACACTCTTTTCCATATTCAAAAGCAAGATATCTCATTATCTGCATTCCGTTCAGTAATACACCGTCATGTTCTTTGGATTTGGATTTATTCTTACCTTCACATTTTTTTGAACGTTGCGTCTTCCTACCTTAGTTTCACACATGCAACCTGATTGCAATAAAGTAAGCACAAGTGAAATGGCTAGAGGCGGGCACAAAATGCAGCTTATGATTGAGAGGGACTCATGAACGGCACAAAGAACAGTTAGAAAGTTTGCAGAAAAAAAGGCTGCTTCATTATTGTTTAGCAAGGCTAGAAAGGCTTACCTCAGCCGCGGTATCTCTCTGGTCTTTGCCTCGTTCAACACATCAGCAACATCGATCTTCAAGATTTTCTTGCTGACCCCCAACAAGGAATTGGGAGACAAATCGTTGACCATGCGGAAAGATCGTTGCCCATTTTGTCCACATGGTGCTCAGTGGTGCAACCGCTTCAATACCACTGAGTTAGGCCTTCCAGGACGCATGATTCTTCCAGCCAATCTTGCTCCTACAACGAAATGGCGGAGACTACCATATGATGATAGATCACCAGAGCGAAGGAAGCGATCGGCAATAACCTTACATCTTTCGATCGAGTTCGGCCTCTTTCGGAAGTCGCAAAAATTCATCTGCTCTCCGTTTCTGCTCGTCAACATTCGATTCGGACTCCCAGCATGGCACCAACACTTGAAAAGCTCGTTTGCCTTCTCCTTGGATTTCCTATAACTGCAGCCATTTTTTTCACAATGGCTTCGAATACGTTATATAGCAGATCGCTCACCTTTACTAGCAAAACCAGCTGGTTTTGTAAATTATGATGAGCACTGGACACTAACAAAACTCGTCCACATTTCAGACGTTTATCCATGGCTGATTCAGCTATAACACAAGCAAAGTTGCAAATTCTCCCCAAAAAAAGCAAATAAATCGTAAAATGCATGATACTTGGTACGTAAATGATGAAACACTTACAGGCTAACCGTAGCCACAAGTCCGACTTTCTCTCTATAAAGTTCACCAAAACGTCGTGGTACTGTCGAATTGGACTCACTGTTGCCTCCCCTGGATCACACATCTGACAGTCGATTTTTGGCAATGCAGACAGCTGCTGCTGGGCCTGAACAAAATTCACAAATGCATTCCTTTGGAATCAGACGTACAAGCAGTAATTTCCAGTTTTGTTTCTACTGATTTATTTCGGCAGAGGGTTCTAAAAATAGACGGTGTTTGAAAAAAAATGGAGCGCTGACCCTATTACGGCCAAGAAACGAAAGCGTGTAGTGGATAAGCAGTGCCCTGGTGCTATGCGTGCCTTAAACGGGCAAAGCGTTTACCTGGGCTTACTGGGTTTTCTATATAAATATTTACAAATATTTTCAAGGACGTCATAGAGAGAGAAAACGAGTAGAGACTAGCGAAGGACAAGTGACCGAATAGCTATGCTAAGCAGGAAGCGTACTGAAATGCACTTAGCTGAAATCAAAATTTTCTCGAAAAAATTCTTTAGAAAGCATGTGGTGCCGAAGAAAAAGTGGATTGAAGCCAGCGCAGTAGGAGATGGAATGTTGATGGTGAGCGAGGCGTACACCAAAGTTGTTAGCTCCACTAAAAAATCGCAACTCTAATCCTGGATCTCCAACAGGCAGGAGGAAATAGAAAACAGAGGCCAGTAAAGAAGAGAGTGGATGGATAGTAGGCAGGGAGTGCATCAAGGTGGCAAGGCTCAACTCAAGTGCCGATTGCTCATTTATAGCCGAAGCCTCCACTAGAGCAAGGAAACGAGCTGGTTAAACTTTTAAGGGGGATTCCACGATAAAGCCGAAGGTCGAGAAAGGGGAAACTTACCTAGTGGGAAACAGGGGTGAATAGCGGTCCAGGAATTCTTCGACCATGGCTCTCTACTGTACAAGTACATGTACGCGTGGCGAACACAGACTGCTCGTGGCTAGCGACTGTGCAGAGTATGTTACGCGCGCGAAACACGCAACGACTCGCGGCTAGCAAAAGTGAATGTGAACGCTGGAGAGCGCGACTGAACAGGCGAAAATCTTTAACGAGCTGTTGCCGTTTCCTCGACCGATTTTCACCCTTGTGGAAAGGGCCGCCGATTCTTTTTTAAGAAACCCAACATTGGACTCTCTAAGGGTGGCGACCGAACATGCAATTCGACGAAGAGTACCCTCGAAGATATAGCAGGCCGACTCGCGACGTTGCTTCACACGGCACGCCCGACTGCTCACCACTCGCCGCGATCTAACTGTTCGCTAGAGAGAGACGTTAGCATTGAAGAGGGCAGCATGACGATAGTCGTGAGTGGCGGAATCAACGGCAAGGAAGAGGTCCCATCACGCCCCCCCCCCCCCCCGCCCCCCGCCCGCCCCACCGGGGGGCCGCGGGGGCGCGGCCCCGCGGGGGGGTCTTAGTCGCGTTTATCACGGTTTTCAACGGCATCACCTGGCCATCTCTACCTCGGATTCTAATGCACGCCTTCTAATAGTTGTTATAATTGGGATGCATTAGGTTATGATGAGAAAATTGAAGACACATTTAGCTATACTTCTCAAGATTGCTCTTCCTTTTGGTCCTTCATGCTATACGAAGTTATTACGGCACTTTCTACAAAAGATCTTTGCAACATATCCTCCACTCGCAGATGTTCAACCCGCAACAAATTCAGCAGCATTGAGTACGTCACACGAAACTGTGAGACAAGGGGAGCTGCTTTACCCTGAAAAGACAGCTGATGCTAGAACATGTAATAGATTTTTCTCTTAAAAGAGGGATGGCGATACGTCTACTAGTGTCGCAAGACTTTCTCACTAAATCCAGAGCAATTTTTGCAGCAACTGAGAGCACAGCTTTTGAAACCGAGAAATTATTTTTGATTATTGAGGTTAACTTATTAAGCTCAATACTGTCTGACTGACTCTTTAAATTATGGCAGTGGCTCCAGTGATTCTAAATCCTAGCCTAATGGAAGGGTCTCAGCGATGAGGCTTCTCAATTTGTCCGTCCTTGAGATAACTACTACTTGATAGAGAACTTGTTAACCACCTACCTCCATGATCATCTGGCAGCTGACCTTGGTTCAACTAAGTTTCGCGGCTGTTTGGCAAGAACGATAAAGTCCCGTGGTATCAAAGACACGCGGCTCTGCTCTGCAGCTCTGGAACACATTAAGTGAGCTACTTCTCCAACAACAGCGCTGGGAATATATAAATTACAGAACCTGTATGTACTCTGCAGCATTCAGCGTTCTCAGTTCCATGCCATCGTGCTTCTTGGATACTGTCAAATACGACAGTTCGCGCCGGCATGTTCACACCCATCGCAAAGGTCTCCGTAGCGAAGAGAATCTGTGAAACGAGTAAGGTTGAATTTAAGCCCGGCAACGATACTGTTGATTGAGTAAACTTCAAAGATACCTTGACGTATCCCTTTTGAAACAGCAACTCCACAACTTCTTTGAGGATCGGAAGGATTCCACTGTGATGAACAGCAAATCCACGCATACACAGCTCTTTCATTAGGTGAACCTTAAAGATGGAATATCAAAAAACACTCTGCACCATTCTTGGGATGCTTCTTTACTGCAGCGGGACAGGACAGTGGCTGATAGCCCCACACTCCAACGAAGGTGTGGAGATTAAGACAAGGGAGAATCTTGAGCAAGCAACCGAGCACTCCTCGAGAGCGGTGGGTCCATTGGTACCATCTTAATCAGGTAGAACAAAGCTCTAAAAGCCGCTGTGCTGATCAATCATAAGTTAAGAAACCACTGCGATTTGAAGATAGAAGGAGGGGAAGTAAACCTAGTCGAAAGACAGGCGGGCCGAGAGAGTGATGAATATGCGCGCTTCGCATCGCAGAGTATGTACCCCAGCGGTCTAGCAAGGTCATACCCATGCCGCTCGGCCCCTGCACGCCAGCTGATAGGTTGCTCCAGCCGTCTGACTCTGGTTGTCCAACAGAAAGAGGAGAGCAAGAAAGCGAGAGAGAGAGAGGGGTGAGCGTTAAAAAGGGCAGCACCGATGAGAATCGCATCAATGCGGATACCAAGGGCGAAAAAGGAGTGCCATTTCTCGGTTTTTATGGGGTCGAAACAAAACATCGAGACTTTGATTTTTGTACCTGAGGAAGCTTTTTGTCGGATCCCTTCAGACGACCGATACACTGCGCGAAAAACGACTGAATATGAGATTTCTCCACCTCCGTCGTGAGATCCATTGAGTTAACAATTGAGCGTTATCGTCACACATGAAAAACAAACATAAAAGAGTTATACCTCTTAGAACAGGCATTTCACTAGATAAAATTTTCTGAGGTCAACTTACAGATTGCGTAATCCACGCATGCGCGCGAAAAATCAATAACGTTCGTACAGGCGCAAAATCAATGCCCACACTACAGCATTCTGCGAGGACCAATGTTAGCAAAAACTCGTTTACGTATGCCTTACGCCCTTTAGCCAACTCAAAAAAGAATTGTGCTCAAGCGTCACTATTTGGCCGTTTAAGCAGCAAAAAGATCAGCAGTATGACATCCTAATACCTAGAACAAAATCGCATGATTAATACCTTTTCCTGGAGAACACGAAAACGACCATAGGCAGTTGTTCATTAGTGCGAAGAAAGTCAATCAGACTTATATAGACGTTCTTATCATTCTTGCCGGTTGGTTTCCCACTGAAACCGCCTGTGTTCCCACCTGCAAGATTTTCAGATTATGCGGTTCAAGTACAGTCAAATATCCATGTCACATACTGTATCCTCCACGAGCTTGCCCACCACCACGGCCACGATTGGCGCCATCTCCACGATCAAAGCCTCCACCGGGTCTACCTTGGTTGGCAGGGGTGTCCCGCTTGTTGGCCTGAAGAAATTTACTTTGTAGTTCAGTTCAAAGGGGAAAAGCAAAGCTTCTCGAAGCAGAGGAAGCCACCTTTGCATCGGCCGCCTTCCTATAACCAATTTCCTGCCAGTTGCCGTTCATATCAACAATTTTGAAAAGATCTTTCTTTGTCTTGCCATCTTGTCCCGTATAGAGGTAGTGCTCCAAAGGCACTGGGCGTTTCAACGTCGACACCACATTGATTTTTCGGTTTTTAATTCGTCTGCAAAAAACAACAATATGATTTTCAAAATTTACAATAACATAGCTAGCAAAGTCACGTACCCAACCCAATCGGCAAATTCAATGCAATTCGGCACCGTAGCTGACAACATCACAATCTTTACATGGGAGGGAAGCATTATGAGAACCTGAACAAGCACAATGTTGGTCCTCGTCCTCGCCGAATGAGAAATCTGCTCAACAATCCGCAACT